GCGGCGACGGGGTTGATCAGGAGCGGGGTGCCGCTTGGGGCGTTGGAGTTTTTGGATGAGGTGCAGATGGAGGTTATCAATCGGCATGGGAGTGAGGCCGTGAGGAAGACTGCATGGGATGAGAGTCCGACGTTGTTTTTGAAGTGAGTTGTCACTTTATTCTCTACCTTCCTTCATAAGTGCTGACTTTGGTTGCTCAGGTTCGCGGGGACTACAGACGGCATCAAGGGGGATATTGCTAGGGTGAAAGAGATTGTGCAGCCGTTCAAGCCCCGCAAGGTCTTCTTCGCCAGAAACAAGCAGGAAGAAGCCGATCTATGGGCCGCGAGAAAGGAAGCCCTTTGGACAATGACGTCGATCAAGCCAGAGGGGTACTCTCTCTGGTCTACGGATGTGGCTGTGCCGATCTCGAGATTGGCCGAGATAATCAGTAAGCCTTGGAAATCTGCCAACGTTTTGTACTTAGTCTCGAGACACATCCGCTAATCAAAAACGGTCTACAGCATTGTCGAAAGAAGACTCTGGAAAGCTCGGTCTCTTTGCGAGCGTCATTGGACATGTTGGAGACGGCAATTTCCACCAGGCGGTCATGTATGACCCGAAGAACAAGGAGCAGCGGGCTTCGGTTGCCAAGTGTGTTCATGATATGATGGGCAGAGCATTGGAGATGGAGGGTACTGTCTCAGTGAGTAATCTTTTTCTGCGACGATGAAAGATTTGGTAACTGCCCTGCTGACTCTATCTGTAGGGAGAACATGCCATCGGCATCGGGAAGAAAGATTGTCTTGTTGATGAGCTCGGCGTTGATGCTATTGATTTCATGAGGACCTTGAAGCAGGCAGTGGATCCAAAGTAAGTCTATCGACGGTCCGAACGCTACGCTTGCGCCATGCTGACTATTTGTTAGATGGATTATGAATCCTGGCAAGGTGTTCGACCTCCCGAGCAACTCGAAAGCTGTTGCTGCATCATGATATCTGTACAAGCCTTTATTTAGAAGCCCGGCATTTAGAGCCAATGAAGTTAAAATGTCTATTTTGCTATCAGTCAGTAAATCATTGACCCCGTTGCTGGTAAGATCAAGACAACTTCGTGCGAAAACCAAATGCTGTTCCAACACCGATAATCACAGCCCGCTTCCCATGCAGTTGGTCGCGTTGGTCGCGACTCATGAGCCACCACCAAACCTGCAATAAACGTGCCTGAAACATGGAGCTGCATACGTGCGACCCTTGAAATGCGAAGCGATCGTTGCAGTAGGCTACAATCAAACAACCAACACAACGTGGGGGCCGTCACGGCTCCTACGTCTCCATGTCTTCGTTGTTATTCTGGCCGGCTGGGGTCTCCATGTCCACTTCATCCACCTCGGCCTCGGCCTCGACGTCTGTCCCTGCTCCAGCTTCTACCACTGGTTCGTCCTCCACCTCTGCCTGACTTCCCGTCACTCCTCCAGCTTCTGTCGTTTCTCCAAGCTCTGTCACTATTCCAGCTCCTTCCCCTGCCCCATCCTGTGCCGCTGCTCCAGCTTCTATCCCTGCTCCGGCCTCTGCCTCTCCCGTTGCCTGTGTCTCTGCTACCTTTCCCTTCTTATACCTATTCCCATCGTTCCTCAGTGACTTCACTGTGATAGTAGGATGCCGTCCCAAAAAGAGCTCAATCCACCTCTTGCAGCCCGCGGGTGTCACTCTGCGCGGCGAGCACCTTCAACACAAACTCCTTGATCTGAGGACGGGTGACGGGGAATCCCAGCTCCGCCTGCGAAATGGCCCAGGCAGCCGGAGAACTCTCCTGAGATACGCTGAGTCGTTGGTACTCCTGCTTGGCCTCTCTGCACGTCTTCCTGCCGGGCGTGAGCTGGTGGTAGAGGGTGGTGTAGGGGATGACCCAGGCTTTGGCGGCTTTGCGTCGACACGTCTTTTTTCGCGTTTTTGATGTCTTGTTCCGTCCAATTTGGCATCGGTGATGGTGTTGAGAAAGGTTAAAAAAAGATTCGGCTGAATGCTCCTGCAGTGATCCCATGTGGCCAGTGGGGTGGTACCGTGGTGTGCCCCTCATGCGGTTTTAGTGCAGCAAGCCACTCTTCTTAGCCTTGTCGAACACAAAATAGTGTGGTCACGACATGCAGGATGCGACGAACTAACCTGACTCGAGATACTGTTGCCTATCACCACTTCACGTTTCAAATCTGACGTCCCTACGAGGGTCTTTTTCTTCAATAAAACGATAGCTCTAGATTCTTCACAGGAATGCCACTACCAGGAGCATCTTATGTTCTCGTTGGCGCCCTAGCTTCGATTGTCATCTTGTTATAATCTTGCCCATCGCTCCACGCCTTGCGAAGACGATGAGTCGCCGACTAGAAGTTAGCTGTGATTAACCCAATATTGGCTGCAACCCGTCTCCGCCTGGAAGAAGGCTGTGACATTCTGGAATGTCCAAGGAGATTGTGACCCCAGTCATGCAGCCATCGCAGCACCAAGTTGCCCCCCTGCGTCCGGCCGAGACATGAGTCAAGCCGGGGTTCTGCTACTGCGCCGACCGGCGAACTGCATGGGTTGAACCAACAAACTTCACGTTTTGGGAATCAGGCTCGTGAAGCTCTGTCGGGAGTATGTACCTCTTTGCACATCAAACCATAAGACCGGGGATGGCAAAATAGTCAAATTAAGCATCATTTCCACGCCTTCTCCATGGAGTTCAACCTCGAGAAACAAGTAAACTCCTCTCTTCGGCCTCTCACTGTCAGAACCCAGTGAAGTGTACACAATGTTGCCACAACTCACACCAATTCTTTTTTGGACACTTGCTGTCTGTTGGCTTGTTGCCGCTAGCCAACATGCAGCACCGGTAGGTCTGGTGGTGCGAAGCAACCCTGGCAAGACAGCTTCCAACACACTGCTAGCCATCCGACGGTATCTCTCCAGCGCGAGGCTTGAGAGAAGAGAAACCAAGTTCAGTAACAGTACTTCACTTGACACCGGGTTTGACAATGCGATCCTCTTCAAGTAGTAAGTAATTACACTTCAAGCAAGCAACTCATCGGGTGCACCACACTAACAGTCTCAACCATAGTGAGCAAAAGGCTGAGGCTGGTGCCAACGTTACAGCGAGTGCGGGCATTGAAGTAGTGTGCACCAAGTGCTACATCAAAGGCAAAGCCAGTGCTCACCTCACGATCGACGGCACTTTCAACGCAACGAAGGTCGCAACTGACATTGGAAACGAGTTTGAAGAGACTTTTGACAACATCACCGCTTACGCAAAGAACTACGTTTCCGGAGTGGTTAATAACTTGTCTGACGGCCTAGATGCTAATGACTTTGATTTTCCACCATTGAACATTACATTTGACCTCGATGTGCCTTCATTCCCCGAGGCGAGCCTAGGCTTTGGGTTTGAAGATTTAGAGATTTACATGCAGCTTGATACCACCCTGTCAGCTGGCTTGTCGTACACGCTCAACCTCTACACATCAACTACACCCCTAGGCTCAAAGATTGGAGACGACTTGCTTCTGGGCGTTGTCTTTTCCATCGACCTAATCTTGAGTGTTGAGAGTGAGCTTCAGATGAGTAGCGGCTTCCACCTTCGGATGGACGATGAAGTCGGCTTTGATATCGCACTCTTTTCGAAGAATGTTTCCAGTGTCAACTTGTGAGTTTCTCCTTGTTTCGCATTAATCACCCCGTCGCTGATCCAATGACTTTAGCAAGGGTGGTCGATTCGAATTCCTCCCCGTCATCATTGAGAGCGCCGGCGTAGAGCTCAAGGCCATCCTCCGCGCAGGCTTCAGTGCCGGCATCGAGATCTCGTCTCCTGTCGACAGCAAGGAAATTGAACTCTTCAACAACACTATCAAGGTCCCAGGTGCCTCAGCCGGGATAGAGGTCAGCGTATTTGCAAATATTGCTGAGTTGAGCACCAACGTCACGGCCCTGTCGACTCCAGACGAGAACGGTTGCGTCTTGCGAGCCGTCAACGCGTACCAGTTTGCACTTGGTGCTGCGGCCGGCGCTTCGGTCCAGATCGGTGACCGCATCTGGGGTCCGGTACCAAACACCCAGATTCCACTATTCTACACCACGCTCGGAGACGCTTGTGCCAGCACGCGTGTTCCGACTACAACAGCGACCAGTGTCTCTGCCAGTGCGACTGATAAGGAGAAGCGTCAAGAGGAGCTTACCACGACGACGCTGAGTAAGAAGGTGACGTATACTGGTATAGAATGCGTAACTATTGGCTTGATCAACTGTCCGCCGCAACTTCAGACTCTGCGAGAGTTTGTCGCTACAGAGACATTGATCACGGCCGTCGCATCAGGGGTTGAAGCGGTCTTCCCGGTGGCAACGAAGGCTGTTGTCCAAGACGTAGTCAGCTTCGGATCGAATGCGCAGTCGTTGACCTCGAGCAGCGGTGCTCCGAAGGAGTTCACGCCGAGCCCAAGTGCATCCTCCACTAGCACAAACCCTCCTGGCGTGCTCGATGGCGATGTTGGTGGTGTCAATAAGAAGACAATTGTCGGTGTCAGCATCGGTGCCGGTGTGCTTGCCATGGCTGTTATCGTTGGTGCCTGCATGTAAGTCGCCAGCAAGCTCCAGCCTCTACTTGAACTTTCGGGGCCCGAAAGATTGAGCAACACTAACAAGGTTGACTATCACAGGTTTTGGCAACGGAAAAAGAGATACAGCCCCGTTTCAAGGACGAACGGAGAAGTTACTTATGTCCAAGACTTCCGTCCGTCGGAATTCCACGACCCTATCAAGAACCAAAAGCAACCTCAAGTCGATGTGGTCAATGTACATGCAAAGTGAGCCACGACGCTCCAGCTAGCAGTAGAAAGGGCATCGAATTGAAGACCAAGTCACAGGCAAGACTTCAAGTGCAGGATGATGCACGGAAGAAAGTGGACAGATGATTGAGTACTTAGTAGTTTTCACGGTGTTTACGAATTTACGACTAGATATACCAAATGTGTTTCGATGTCCTTAAGGTTTACGTCAGAGCTTGGAAGCGGCTTTGAGAGAAGCCAGGAAATCCTCCACATCTTGCAGCAACAATGCTGGCTGCTCAAGCGCCGCAAAATGTCCTCCCTGATCACACAATCAGTGTCGCTCCATTAACACAGAACTTTTGATGTCTTACCTTCTCATGCGTGCGATACTGCGTGAGATTGGGGAATGACTTTTCTGCCCACGCCTTTGGCATCAGGCCAATCTCGGCTGGGAAGCACGAGTATCCCAACGGCGTTTCCTTCGAAGTAGGGATGATTGTGCCACCGCCTTCACTAGACATGGCCTTGGCCAATGGCCGATACGGGTAGATACTCCTTGGGAACGTGTCCGTGTACCAGTACAGGCTCACAAGCTCGAGAATGGTCTCCAGCTGAAGCGGGTAACGCGAGTCCACCCACTCGATGTACTTTTCGCCAATCCTGCAGATTTTCTGTAAGTCTAAGATATCAGATGAGAAAGGAAGGACATCATACCAAGCCAATAACGCCAGTGGACTCGCTGACAATACCAAGCCGATGGTTGCTGGTCGGAGACCATGCTCTAGGGCATATGACATTCCAGTTGAGCGCCATTTCAACATCCTCCCAGTCTGTTCAAGTTCTTGAGGCGTCAATCCATCGGTGCCACCAGCAGCATCCTCGGGTGAAGGCATCAACATGTTCACTATATCATTGTCAATACCTTACCCTAGGCTTCGCTCGATATTGCTAGTTTTACTCACAGTGGAATGCTTTGCACTCCTTGTAGCCGGACATGATTCTAGCCATGAAACTTCCCACATCACCGCCTTGGGCAGCGTACCCGCTGCCGAACCCAAGGTCAAGCATCAGTTGATGCAGACTGCGCGCGACAGCCTCCTGTTGAGTCTCTTTCTCAAGCGGAATCGAGCTAGCAGAGAGTCCATAGCCCGGGAGAGACGGCACGATGACATGGTACGGCAGCGTATCCGGGGTGTACTTGCTCACGAGCAAATCGATCATGGGGAAGAACTCGAGGAAAGAGCCGGGCCAGCCATGCATGAAGATAACTGGTGTTGCGTCCTTCTTGTTGGAGAACAGCGCGGCGAAGTGGATGTCCAACGTTCCAAGATCCGCATCCTCGACTTTAGCTTTGAAGTTAGGTACGGAGTTGATGCGAGCCTCTTGTTTGCGCCAGTCAAAGTTCAACCAGGCTTCTTTGGCGTCAATGAGCCATTTGCGAGATACGCCGAATTGGCCGTCTTCTTGTTTGTTGTACCATGTCTCCGGTCCGATTTTTGATAGCTTGAGTAGCTGCAGGAACTCATCCACGCTCTGGTCTGGCACATTGAGGGTGAACTTCTCCGGAATCTTTACGACTCCGTTGGGCAGGTTTCCGAATGCATGGGCCATGGTGAATGAGGGTTGGATAGGTACGGTGATGCTTTGCCTCCCACAGTAAAGAGATGAACAGGTCGACGACATTATAAACTTGAGATGACTGGGGCACCAACACACGAAAGACACGGCATTGATAGCATCCCCGCACCGGGATTGGGCAAGGCCTGTCTCTGTAGTGTAAGGTTTCGAGGTTCCGTGCCATCATGAGTGGAACTTTGTCCCACCCGGCATGCAGTTGATCAGCACCCGTCCCGCTTGTGCATCACCACCGGGGCTATCCGCCTCCTCTCATTCGATCGAACGTCCCGAATTCCGCGGAGTCGAGGTGGAGCAAAGGCGACAAGACGGACCGGACGGGTCAGTGTTAGAGTCCGGATGTGTTAGTCATGAGCTTAGACATGCTTGATTGGGGCCTCGCTTGGGCCCTGCCATGATAGAGTTTAGCTGTCGGTTGAGGTGTACGACCAAACAACGTCGTATGTGCGTGGGACTGTGTCGGACAAGCAAAGGAGCCCGAATTAATAATCACCCAGCTAGGTAGTTCGGATCCGAGTACGAGAATCTCCAACACTGTGAGGAAGGCTCTTCCAATATTCGTCCGTCGAATGGAGTTTTGTGGAAAGGCTTGGCAATCAATATCAGTCCTAGCAGAACGTTGTACGAAAAAGCACTACAAGCTGTTACTTGACAAACTAGTGTACATCCTTGCTCAGCATGCGGCTACCTTCTTGTAGGCGGTTGACTTTCGGATGAGTGCCTTGTGCTTCACTGGAAACCTGGTCGCACAAAATCGAACATATACGAATGGACGCTCAAGGATAGACTTACTGTGAGAGATCCAAGTAGACAATGCAGTTGTCCGAATAGCAACTGCAATTATCTACTTTCGCCATAGTTGTTCCCAACATTGAGGAAGCAGGAAGTTAGGATGAGAGGTGTTAGAATAAAGCTCTTCTAATTATGATGTATAAGGTAAGGTACCTAGTTTGGCGAAAACGACGCCGTTAGTTGCAATGGGCTCTCAACGACATGCATCGTGCCGTTCGTAGCCATTGTGACGAAGTAATCGATTTCTTTTGTATTTGATCACCTAAGGGGATAATGGAGGCCTCAAACTTTAGTCAACTTTTCCTCGTCTATCGTATCTTCATGATCTGTTGTCACCTAACTGCTCAAGCTATGACATAGCTTCACGCAGCTATCTGAGTGAACACGGGGAGAAGTAGATGGGAAAGTGATTGCTTGTGAGTGTAATGTGTTCGGAACTCAGGTCGAGAAAGAGAGAATCTGGAACCTCAAACCCGGAGTTTAATCAAAGCCAGGCGCTTCATGAGTTCCACTCCCTCAATTCGATATGTGCAAAGATTGGTGGTGAACTAATCAGACTCCCAGAAATATGAGGAGACTATGACCCGTGTCCGAACCCCAGTCTCGATATTCTCCCGTTCGGAGATCCAATGGCATCTATTCACCAAACGAGCGAAAACAAGGCACTTTAAGTAGATTCCCAAGTAACTACCCTGTCGAGATCTTACGCTTTCAATGTCTCTGTGACGGGAATTATTTCCCAGCCTGTCTGAAAATAATCTCAATAGAGTAGAGCGTGAGTGCGTCTCTCATCCGAACTTCCTGCAGAGGATTCAGAACTAATGGTTGGAACAAGTGAAATGATCGTAGTAATAGCTGCCGATAGCGTCAATGGGCGCGGACTCGTAGAGACGGCGATGCTCAAAATGCGAGCGGAAACTAACCTCAGTCTAAAGCCAAAGCCTGAAACTGCACCGAACGTTAACATCCGGCAGTGCGGCATACGCATTTTGTCGGACTTCAACTTTGTCTAGGGTAAGACTTGTGCCGGTGTCGATCGATTGAATGGGGGGCTCCGCCAACCCATCTTCGGCCTCTCAGCTGAGCAGTATTTAAGATGATCTACACCATGAAGTGTTAAGAAGTGGGAAGTTGTGGAGCTAGCATTAGCAAGGCTTCAGCTAGGCTTCGGCAAATCTATGCTGAACCCGTTTTAAGCAACCTTATTGAGTTGAGCCAATGACTATATCCGTGCCAAAGCCTGAGAAATCGGAGGATAAACGACCAACTTGCTCCTAATTTGGCCCACAAGGGTTAGCAAGAGAAATGATTATTCTCACCTTCTGCGAGGAAGACAATCCTTGAGTGGATACAAAATAGTTTGGACTGCTAATTTTACACATATGAACCAAGATGCGATACACGACTTGGTCAAAAGTTTGGATGCTATCACATCAGACTATTGCGGATTGAGGATGCCTAGGAAATCGGAGGGTATGATGTCCATATGTACCTCATGAGACAATAAAGACTACTATAAACATCTCGTATCAAGACCACGGAAATGGAACAATTACAACGACCACATCACACTTCAAATCTCCTCGGAAAAGAGACGTCTTAAGACCCAACGGCGCCAACTTCACACTAGCTTTGACATTAAGACAGTGTCACATCTTTGAACGATATTACCAAAGATGGACATCATGTGTTCCTCCGTCCGTTTCGTGTTCTTCGGAATCTTGGGCATCTTAACATCTGCGTACGCCGAGCACCTTCGAGTTGTCTGGTCATCCGGCGCCTACGGCGCTATTGGTGGCCCCAGCGGATCTGGCACCAATGGCGGCTACACCGGCTTTGCCATCATCAACGACGCCGGTGAGGCTGTCTACGATCAAGCTTACCCCAACGATCACTCTCCCTGTTAAAACACTGGCGACGGCCGTACGTTCACCATCGAGGGCGACTGCTGGGACACTGGACAAGTCTTATACTGCAAGTCAGACCTTGGTGGCGCGCCCAAGACGTGCGAGGTGAAGGATAGCAACGGCAATGTCCTTGGTAGCGGCACGTACATAGCAAAAGGATAAGCGAATCTAGCTTTATTCGTATGAAAATCATTTCCCTTGTGCCACCTAGTGCTGTTAGACGAGGAGCGCATGCTTGAAGGCTTCAGCAGCCAACATTAATATTATACAGACCAAACTTGATTTTTTCTGGCAACCTTAAGCATAGGAACTACTTCTTAATGTCTGAACCCAAAGAGTACGATTCCAGCGTCGTCCTCTGGTATGGTTTGCAGGTTCCTTCCAATCTGAGCCTATCGATCTTCCAGCTTGAACAACGAAGTCAGAAGTCTACATGTACCCTTACGTCTAGTATCTTGAACCAGAAGATATAGAAGCAATCTACAAATTTGTAAGAACCTATCAAAGCTGGAAGTGATGAAGAGACGAGAGGGCAAGTGGTTGTTATCTCCTGCATTCCAATCTCCCCGAAGGCCCAAAGGGTCCGGTGATTCTGCCACCACCCGCTTCGGAAAACATCGTAGCATTCTTGCCCACCAATGATAGTGGTTACAAACTCAATTTTATTACTGACAGCTACTTAGTCCCTGGATTCAGTGGCGAGATCTCGAGGAAGCGGGGTGTGCGGGGTGGACAGGCACCTCGGCAGGCCGCGGACGGGATGAAACAAGGTTTCTGTGACAATCATCCGGTCTCCCCATATTCGCCGACGGAGTTCTTTAAGCGCAATGATATCAGGTGCATTTGTATAAAACGCCCAAGGCGGTGATATGAAGCGAGGTCTGAGGACATACAAAACGCCAGGCCATCTACTACAGAAGACTAACCGAAATAAAGCTGACCAACTCAACGTTATATCGGATCAATGTCGCGCTTCGAGATCAACGAAAAAGACCTCGTCGGTCTCAAAGACAAGGTTGTCTTAGTGACAGGTATGCACACCTAGCGACTGTCTTGTATTCTTTTCTGAGGTTGAACTACATGATGGTGCAACCAGCCAAAGACTCGAATTATCATATCAACATCTGTTTGAGGAGGATACATGCTGACCAAGCAATCATCAGGCGGATCCTCGGGTATCGGCCTTGGAACGGTCAACCTTCTTCTCTCTCTGGGTGCGCGAGTTACCAATGTCGATCTGAGTCTTCCCAAAGCTTCGGAGCCTGGCGATCCGTCTCTAGTGGAGTCTCGTCTAACCTTCGAGCCATGCAATGTTTGCGATTGGCAAGCTCTTCGTGGCGTATTTGCGCGAACCGCAGAGCGAGAAGGTCGCATTGACGCTGTCTTCGCGAATGCCGGTAAACATGCCCACCTGGAGATATCTTTAGCTTGTCCTTGAAATTGCCATGACCACTTAACTGTGAAGTCATTGAAGCCGCTGCTACTGCAATCTAGCCAGAAGCTTCATTGAACCCGGTGGAATGAGGGCAATACAAAGAAATATTCTGTATGAACACGAGGGCTGACAACGGTGGTATTAGGAGTTGGTGCCCGGACCCGGTTTATCGACGACGAGATCGATCCTACTGATGGAGAGTTGAAGGCACCAGACCTGAGTTGCGTCGAGACGAACCTTTTTAGCGTCATTTCAACAGTCAAGCTCGCTGTTCACCACATGCGCAAACAGGAGACCGGAGGTAGCATTGTTCTCACTGCATCTGTCAGCTCTTGGTCAAGATTCAAAGCTGTTGATTATAGTAAGTGTCATTCTCTTCATGATCTTACCTCTGCGGCCAGGCAACATCTTCGTTTGCCTTGCAACAAGGATAATGTTGACTCGAGAATACTTCCAATTTCGTTCGCAATACTGATACAACCTGTCACACTAGCCACGTCTAAGCATGCTGTGCTTGGTCTTATGCGCAGTCTTATCCCGCATCTAGAAGAGCTCCCTGTTCCCATCAGACTCAATTCTCTCGCTCCAAACTGGACTAAGTCCGGTATTGTCAACGAGGAGATGGTGTCTCTCACGGGACTCGCTCTGAATACGCCTGAACATGTGGCTCTATCGGCTGCTTTACTCATGAATGACAACAACAGAAATGGAGAGGTTATTTTCATCGACGGCGGGAAATACTGGGAGATTGAAGAATCTCTGGGCGGAGCTGGGGTCGGTAGCTTCGTTGGATCCTCACTGCCGATCGGTAGCGACCAAGGAACGGACTGGGACCGCTACCTGGAGTTTTCCAGGAGGATGAATTTAGCTCTGAAGGGTCTTCAATGATATGCAAAAAGTTTTTTGCAGATGGTACATAAGGGGAAACACACTCACGCTATTCAAGGCATCACGGCACGGATTGGTGATGAAGGTACGTACAAAGAGCTTTCCTCTTACCAGTACATGTAGGTAAGTAGGTCAAGAAATGAAGCTGCGAGGTAGCCCTTTAATTCAGGAAACAATTGAGGATCTCCGGCGAATTACCTTTCAAATCAAGTCAATCCCCTCCAAACGTACGTGCATTCGTTGGCGTGAGCAAGTACAGCTGTGTATATCCACTTTCGCAGAGTAGGATAGTTCTAATGTCTGGGTACAGCTACGAAACGCTCGTGTTCATTTCTTAGTGCACGTACATAGAATGTGAGCTGTGAGTGTCGATCTTCAGCCCTTTATATTCCGTGTAACTCGGTATTCAATCGGTATTCAATCAGCGTGGCTGAAGGTAACAGCAAGGCCGCGGACATACGACTAAGCAATTGGGCTCGTTACGTCATTCCAATGTGTACAAATTGGTACGGAAGGGACAGTTCATAACAATTTCCAGAACGCCGGGTTTGAACTTGATTACCAAGAGATGAACATCAGGCTGGGTTTCCACACGAGCTGAATCTTACATGCATACTGTGGTGACGCGCCGACGAGGGTTCGAAGTTCGAACCACTCCTGCTGAAGACGCCACAACTCTGAAAGATGGTGGGCTGAGTCTATCAGCTCAACACTATTGGGTAACGCTTTCAGCATCCAAGACAAGAAAGCCTCACGGCTTCCAATCAGTCTAGTTTTAGCCCTCTTTTGCTGACCCAGAGGCACTGGTGGCTGCAATATTGCAGCAGGCGCGAGAATGCCCGCGGCCGGTTGCCTCACAGCCTTACTTCAAGTGTCGAGGTTGCGGAAGGGATGTTCCTGAGTTCCCTCTTTATGTCAATCCGGGCCTCTCATTCTTCTTTGTTTCCTTCGACAAGGCCATTCAGTCCTTGGAGACTGCAGCGCACTAGGCACCATGACAGACACAGCTCGCAAAGCACGCTCGGCAATCTGCCACAAGTGTCGCGCTACGACCAAGAAGCTTTTCACCTGTATTCAATGCAACAATCTAGCATTTTGTGATGATTGCTGGTCCGAATGGGAGCTTCACGAGCCGGGCGCCGTCGGCTGGGATGGTCGACCGCACGAGAAGTCCAATCCCCAAGTTGTCCAGAGATTGCGGGAGATCCTGGAGCCCACCCGCTCGGCGACAGAGCACGAACTCGAATTCCAATCGGATGAGGATACCACATGGTTTGGAGTTGGGCGAGACTCATCCAACCAACCCATATTGCAGGATTATGGTCGATTCGCCACGTTGATGAGCGATAACCTATCCTCAGACCATGGGAACCGCTATCCTCAGCTCGTGTCCTTCATTGGACAAACAGGCTAGTACTCTCGAAGTTCTGTTTTTATTAACATATTTTACTGATGATCCTTAGGGGCTGGGAAAAGCACGTTGATCAAAATGCTGATTGATAGGCTTGCTATGCTTGACCGCGGGGCAAAGTATCCGTCGCCCGTTACCTCGTCCAACAACGACCGCCTTCCGACGACTGGCGACGTCCACCTGTATGCTGATCCGATGTCTTACAATACCCAAGCGCCTGTGTTATACGCAGACTGCGAGGGCTTGGATGGTGGGGAAGCTGTACCGGCAGGTCTGCGACATCGCACAAAAGGGAAAGAGGAGGCTCTGGGGATCCTTAACGATGTCACAAATGTCATGGGCAAGACCGGTCTAGGCAGATCGCCGAAACCATCAACTGCTAGCCGTTCTTCGGGTGTCATTGATACATCCTCGAAACGTAAGTTCGGAAAGTCGCGCTACGCATCTCAGCGGGACCTCGAATGGGCAGTCACCCCAGAAACGAAGAAAAGAGAGTACGCAGTCACGCAGCTCTATCCCAGACTACTCTACACCTTCTCAGATGTGGTTGTCTTCGTCTTGAGAAACCCTAGGTAAACTTTCCTATACTCCTTCTTAAGGAATACGCTCATGAATTGATATAGGGCTTTTGAATCTACCGTCCTCGACAAACTTTTGGAATGGGGCTCGGCTTCGATCGACAAATCGCTGAACCAACCGGCTCTTCCCCACGCAGTCATTGTCCTTAATGCAACTGACAACGTGGATGATGATGAATGGAATATTGAGACCGCAACTGCTCGTCTTCTTAATGATATTAGTGGAGCGATTTTCCGCGAGCCCCGATTCGAAGAGCAAGCCAGACTTTGGCAGGCAATTGGTCGAACCATCAACACGACCAAAGACTTACTCGACTGCTACTACGCTTCTATCACCGTGATTCGAGTTCCGTCTCGTGGTCGCTACATGCTCATGGACGATCAGATGGGAAAGCTCTTTGAGCTGATCAACAAAAGATGCCAAGCGTCTCTGCTTACCAAGAAGCGTGTTCGGATGCTGGCCACTGCAGACAAGTTGCAAGTCTACCTCCACGCTGCTTACGATCATTTTTCCCGCGATCTGGATACTCCTTTTGACTTTGTCAAAGAAGCGTTGAAACACAACCCCATTCCACAAGATTTCAGTGGCAACATCTTGAACTTGGCGATCTCCATTGGTAATAATTCGACAAAAATTTCGCAGAATGGCGGCGGAACGCAACAGATCTTCGAAAACATGGTGCCGATGATATCGTCTTGCATTATGCTCGACTCAGTTCGCCAGAACATTCTGGGTTAGTAGCGATATCTCTCTCTGGTCTTTCAAGTAAGGTACCTTAGTATTGACAATCTACAGGAACCCCTGTGAGACTTCTCGACGACGCGTACGTGGATTTCTGCAATGTTGCCCTCGAAGGCTATGCAGATTTCTATGCGCCATGCACCTTCTCTCATCCCAAATATGGAAAATGCTACAACGTCAAGTTTGGACACGATCCGAAAGGTCACCAAAACAAACATGGACGTATATTTGCAGCGGGAAATTATCAGTCAGACGTTGACCTGCAAGACTTTGCGGGTCAGTGGATTGATCAAATTCGAAATCACCTGCGTCAGCTTCATGCCAGGTTCCAAGAAGCCACCTCACGAGTGCGCGAGCAGAGCGAGCAAAAGGTCGCTGCTGATCTCCACAGGTATCAACTAAACGACTTCTACTTCTCTTTGGGTAATGTAGGGGACTTTATCAGTCACTCCACTTGCTTTTCGTGTCTAAGAGAGCTCCCTGAACATCCATTGCCCTGCGGTCATGTTCTGTGTCTACCTTGTATTCAAGCCTACGGTATCAAGGCTCATACGACAGTTGAGATGAAAAGGTGTCCTCTTCACGAAAGGGAAACAATGTGGGAGCCTGCATGGACGGTTGTGGTCAAACCACAATTTGCGGGCGCTCGAGTACTGTGTCTTGACGGGTACGATGCCCCCTCAGCTGCCATTCTTCCCGAAATAAAGCTTTGCTCACTAGCTGACGTTTCGTATAGTGGTGGAGTCCGAGGGATTGTAGAGCTTCACGTTCTCAGAGCCATTGAAAGAGTCTTCGGTGAGAGACTCCCGATACAGCTTTTTTTCGATCTGATTGTCGGTACAAGGTATGCTCGTCTCATTTTGGGGTCGTTACGGAAACCTACCTAACCTTGGCGATAGCACGGGAGGAATTATTGCTCTTGGACTAGGAGTCAATAATTGGTCCGTGGAGGAATGTATCAAGACATTCAAACACCTTTGTGCAGACGCCTTCAGGCCACGCGAATTGTCGGGCATTCCGCTGCTTGAGAAGCTTGTCACGATCAATCACGGAAGTATCTACAAGACCAAACCATTTGAGGCTCTTCTGCGGGAGAAGTTCCAGGATCGGCCACTCTTCGGAGGAGCCAACGACCATAGCCAGAGCGAAATGCTAACGAAAGTGGCTGTAACCTCGACAACTTCTATTGACCAGCACTCAGTTATTCTCACGAATTACAACAGACCTGATTCGATGGATGATGGTAAGTACTCCCCCCATGTGCCGCATGACTCTCTCGGCTCGCATAAGATACAAGACTAATTGAGGCAGAGCTTCCTTATCGGCTCTTTCGATCCAACGAGCCAAGTCAAGAGTTCAAAGCATGGGAGGCGTAAGTACCATAGACTCCATGCTAAAATTCATGGTCTTGAAACTGAACAATGAGAAGGGCTCGAGCAACATCCGCTGCACCTCCATTCTTCAAATCATTCACGAAGGCAGACACCAAAAGTAGCTACCTCGATGGTGCGCTCTACCATAATTGCCCAGTACTCGTGGCTCACCATGAAAGACGAATGATATGGCCCGACATCGCCGACACTGTGCCTGACATTCTCTTATCCATCGGTACGGGAATGAACGGTCTTGATAATGAGATCCAGTCTACTGCCCATAGAACGGAGATATTGAAAGGTGGCGAGACCGTGACCAAGCGCAAGAGAACCTTCTTACCTGTACAGCTAGCTCAAATTGCTGCCGATCGCTTCGATCGAATACTTTCCTGCAACGCGATATGGTCCGATTTCAAGACTGATATCCTATCGCAGAACTCACATGTGACCAGAGATAGTCACCGCAGACATATCCGTGTCAACCCTGACCTGCGGTTCAAAGTCCCCCGTCTAGATGCGGTCAACGAGTTGGACAGCCTAGAGAGAGCGACAAAACGGTACCTCAATTTGAACCGGGGCAAGATCAAGGAAATCGCACACAGACTGGTCGCAAGCTGTTTCTTCTTTGAGAAAGATGTGGGATCAGTGAGACAAGTGAAAGAAGGTTTCGAGTGCACAGGTAAGCATATCATGGATCCTGTTTACAGAATTTTGACCTTGTGGCGTTTTGATGGCGCTCAAATGTATCATTACGAAAGACTGACATATGTACCGAAGGCCGCATCCACTGCAGATTTGCCAATTCGTCCAACGAGATGAAATATTTAGGCGAATTCCTCCGCACATGTCTGAGAGGCGACTTTGAACCATATTTTGTCGTAGAAGAGGCGGGGACG